CGTGGAGTGTTGTGGCCGATACGCAAACTGATTAGCGGGCAAAAGTGAATGGGTTTGTAAAAGGTCACACAGGCGTTTGTGGACTATCTTCTCCAAGATCTTCGATGCTATTGGCAGCAAAGATATGGGACGGTAATTGCGAGATGCGTTCTTGTCACCAGACTTAAATAGGGGTCGAACATTGGCAATCTTCAGGGAGACGGGCACAATGCCAGACGAAAGGGATGCATTAATTAATATGGATAGCGATGGGGCGAGGGCTGCTGCACAATGCTTCAGGATGAATGCCGGAATACTGAGCTTGCCCTCAGCTTTATGAGCATCGAGTCTCACGAGGAAGGTGAAGGTGAGGTATTCACACTAGTGGCCTCGAATTCCCGCAAAGGATCCCGTGGTGACGGACCACAAGGTAGGGATAGCTGCACAGGTCTACTTGGATTGGAGACTACTCCAGTGAATTGCTCGCTGAGTGCTGCTATACTGACTGAGGGTGGAGTGGAATGTCATGGCCTGGGATTTGGTCGGTTCAAACATCACTTTCCATGTACGACCCCACTCGTGCAGTCGCTCAACGGACACCTGCAGTGACTGCCGGGCGACTGTTGGGGTCTGCTGGGAGGTGACTAAGCTGTACAAAGTTGTGTCATCAACATAGGCCTCCAAGCTGGCGCCGTCAGCGAGAACATCTGGCGCGTCGTTGACGTAGGCCAGGAAAAGCGTTGGTCCACGGATGCTTCCCTGGGGGACTCCAGCGGAGGTCGTATACCTAGATGACGTCCGCCCTCCAACGAGGCACTGTAGGGAACTAGTGTCCAGGTACGAGGCCAGCCATCTCTGAAGCGGACCATCGATGCCTAGGCTACGCACCTTGTGGAGGAGGCCGACATGTGAGGCACGATCAAACGCTCCTGCGATGGCCACAGCAAGGATACGGATGGAGCCGCCCCTGGAGTCGCCCCTCCACAGCCCACAGCGCTTGCCCAGGCAGTTTGGAGAGCTTGCAAAGCGTCCGATGTTCAGAGGCCTCTGCGAAATCCAAATTGGTGCGACGTGAGCAGTTGGTGGTCCTCAAAATAGTTTGCGATAATTATGTCTGTTTACAAGAGTTTCCATTACTTTCGAGATTATGCACAGTAAGGATACGGGCCTATGTTTCTTAAGGGTTGAGCGGGAAGATCGCTTGTGGATCGGAACCACGTTGGCCGTCTTCCGAATCCTAGGTTGGACTCCAGACCGGAAACATAAAGCAAATAACTTGGACAGTGGCTCTACGAGCTCATGAGCACATTCATGCGAGCAGAAATACCGTCAGGCCCTGTAGCCTTGGAGACGTCTAGCCTTGCCAGGAGGTTGCGGACAGCCTCTGAGCGGAAACGGATGGTAGGAAGATGAGGAGCATCTCAGGGAGCAGGGTCCGGTAGGTCAGCCTCCACAAGGTCCGGACCGGCAACGCTACACTTCTTCGAGAAGAAGCGAGCGAATGCCTCTGCTTTCTCTGAGCTCGTTGCCCACTCGCGGCCGTCAGAGTCGACAACTAGGGGAATTTCAGGCTGTGTGCGGTTGCCAGCAGCGTTCTTCAACTTCGTCCACCACTGTTTGTCTCTGAGGGACCCAGTTGAGAGGCTGCGACGGAGGCTGTCCTCCTTTGCACGTCGTGATTGGAACTGGGTGGCGATCGCTACAGGCACGGAATCGGTGAATGCCTGCTGAAGTGCTGGGTCATAAGGGTGTTTTCTCCTGTCGCGCCAGCGCTTCTCCTTCTCCCTCTCGGTCTGGGTGCATTCAGGCGTCCGCCATACCGGATCGGACGGCCTCGTTTCCAGAACTTTGAACGGGGCAAAGTGTGGAACAGCTGGAGTAATCGAAGCGGAAGCCTGCTCACAGGAAGTTTCTGAATCCTCCGTCATGATATGACCCCATTCCATGTTGCGAAGGGGCGCCCTGAGGCGATCCCAGTCTGCCCTGTTGTAGCGAAATACTGTTCGTTGTTCACATCTAGGGAGCACGGAAGAACAGTCTGACAGTACAACTGCATGGTCAGATCGACCGAGGGGCGGAAGTATACGTGTAGTTACTGGGGACGTGAACTTTGACATTATGAGATCTAGGTGGTTGTCTCCACGAGTCTGTACTGTGACATGCTGAAAAAGAAGATGGGCAGCGCATTTGGACAAGTCCTGCCAAAACTGTACTGGCGTACCTGGAGGTCGATACACTCCTCCTAGGAGAATCCGGTTTCGATGACTTCTGATCTCCAGTAGCAAAAGTTCTATGTTCGTGTGGTCACCCACCACTCGTGCTTGAAAGCGATTGTGCACATAGGCTGCTAGGCCACCTCCATGACTGGGACGATCCCTCCGGACAAGTGCATGGTTAGGTATGCTGAGCAAGCCGTCTGCGGTATTATTATTATTATTATTATTATTATTATTATTTGAAACTCGGGTATTGAGCCAATAATAAATGTAGAAAGGAAAAGGACATATGGAAACGAGTTAAGAGTAACACTCCACAACTGTAACTAGATACTATATACAGTCAGAAAGTGCAACAACTAGGCACAAAACTGACAGAGTACTGAGACATTCGACGTCCTGACACCTAGCTTCAACACATCTCCGTAGCGCTAACCGACAGCCTTCCAACTTGGAAGGTTCAAGGTTATGGAAAGACCAAAGAGGGGAAGGCAAGCGCAACGAAAACGAGCACAAGCTACAGTCCCAACGGAACAAAGAATGTCGATTGTCACTGGACGATGACGAGACCAGTAGGCGATTTGACAAAGCGGTCTAACTACAATTCGAAGCAGCAAAGCAGCACACCACCCAACTTGGGTGGGTTAAAAATATCAAAGATAAGTTAAGAAGGAGGAAGCTTTGCGAGAACGAATTGTACAAGCCGAAATCTAAACTCCTACAGTACTCCTCATGCATGACATTGTGATGGACTAGTTGACTACAGAACAAGTTGTTTCACACGACGGTTTGCTGCTTCGAATTGTAGTTAGACCGCTTTGTCAAATCGCCTACTGGTCTCGTCATCGTCCAGTGACAATCGACATTCTTTGTTCCGTTGGGACTGTAGCTTGTGCTCGTTTTCGTTGCGCTTGCCTTCCCCTCTTTGGTCTTTCCACAACCTTGAACCTTCCAAGTTGGAAGGCTGTCGGTTAGCGCTACGGAGATGTGTTGAAGCTAGGTGTCAGGACGTCGAATGTCTCAGAACTCTGTCAGTTTTGTGCCTAGTTGTTGCACTTTCTGACTGTATATAGTATCTAGTTACAGTGGTGGAGAGTTACTCTTAACTCGTTTCCATATGTCCTTTTCCTTTCTACATTATTATTATTATTAATTCAACATCTCCTGGCTCGTCAGAAGACTGCCAATATATATGAGAAGTCGGGTGGCAGCCAACCACAGCGAACTGAATAATAAGGAGAGAAACAAGGGGAGGCATGACGAAAATGGTGAGATTAGTTAGGACAAAGAAGCTGAAGCTTGAACTCCTTATTGTCTGTGCATGCTTTAAGGCTAGTTGGCAGGGAAGACCAGAGAGTGTACGCAGAGAAGATAGGAGATTTCAGAAACAGGGAGGTATTGGCACGGGGTAATGAGAAGCAATGACGTGTTGATCTGGTGGACACAAACCAGTTATACTTAGCAAAGTGTTTGGGAGCCAGATCTAATAAGATCATGTGTACAAGGATGCAAAGATGTTGCTGGTGTCGCTCTAAGAGGGGAGATACTGAAGCTAAACTTGAGAGACGTTGGGAGGAGAATGTTTGATTTTTGCGAAACAGGATTTTTAGAAGCAGACGCTGGTGTATTTCCAGAGTTTGAACAAGGGCCTGAGACAGACCGCACCACGCTGTGTCACAGTAATCAAATATAGGTAGAATATACGACGTAAAGAACAATTTTCGGCAATGTTCATTTAAATGGTGGAAGTGAGGTTGCAACATGCCAAGGGAGGAGCTAGCTCGCTTGCATACTGACTGGACCTGTGGGGACCAGGACATATGGCTGTCGAATATAACACCAAGGTATTTGTGTTCATGAACAATTTGAACGTTAGCATTGGCTCCTGGAAAGTGCAACGGCTGAGTAGGCGGCGATGGGCTGATGAGCATTGCTTCGGTCTTCGCGATGTTGGGCCTCAGCTTCCAAGCTTCCGTCCATGCTATGGTGGAGTTAATGCCGGTCTGCATGGAGGTAACGAGGTTGGACGGCGAGCTGTCAGAGCACAACAGTGCAGTGTCATCAGCAAAAAGGCTGACGTCTGGAACTAGAGAGGGCAGATCGTTCACATAAGTTAGGAAAAGGAGTGGACCCAGTATGGACCCCTGTGGAACACCAGACACTACAGGTAAAGGATCGGACAAGGAAGCAGAGACACGGACAGTTTGATGACGGGACGACAAATATGACGACAGCCACTGCAGAGTTGTACCACGTACTAGAAGTTAGAGCTGGATAGAAAGGTTCCCGCCAGTATCATGATGTCAATGTTTTGAGATAGTATGAAATACTCAACTTCATGCTTTTTATTAAGAAGGTGGCACACATTGAGGGACCCTACTCTAAGATTAAGACTAAGGCCGTTGTTGCTGTTCGATAAAGGGGCTAAAAAATGTCCAACAGAGATCGCATTAGAGGCAACTGCACGAACTCAGCTGACATAAGGTCAGCTCCAGAACAAGAGAGCTTGGAAGCTCAGGGCCATACGCTGTGCTTTTTTTGCCTTGATGACCTAGGCAAAATAAGCATAGGGATGTTATAAATTTTTCATTTCTCCATTTTTTTTAAGACATAACCTGGGATTCGAACCCGCACTATCGCCCGGCATACATGCATCTCCCTATACATCAGGGAGTCGTATACATGTACTGTTGAGGCAACGAACTGAAATAATAAAAACCAAACCAAACCAAACCAAACATGTACATAACACGAAGGATATTGTGGCCAGCTGTTTGTGGCCAGCTGTGTTTGATGGTACGGTGCGATACGGGACAGATACGGGAGCCAGCAAATATTGTGGCCAGCTGTGTTTGATGGTACGGTACGGGACAGATACGGGATAGCGCCAGGCAAAGCTGTGTGGACCCTGGCTAGCGCCGGACGTTACTGAAGTAACGTCTTCTGCATAGCTACATGATTAAATGTCTTCTCTTATAATTATTGTTTTCAGCTGAATTTGGGAACTAATTGGTTGTTGAGTATTTTGCAAAAGGTTTTCTAATCCTCATGGATGCCAAATAATAACGGTGCAACACGCTAAATTTTGTCTTGCTTGCTGAATCTACATTGCAAAATGAGCACCTCGAGTTTATTTTGGAGTGCGTGCTGCGCATTCTTCTTTGTCATCACACTTTCGGGTAAGTCTTTTCGTGGACTCCATCCATCCTGCTGTGTTTGACAACGTGCCGCACTTTGCGCTGTGTAACCCTTGTGCAGGCAAGGTCCAGGGAACTGAATTGCAGACAAGGTTCACATGCGGCTGCACTACATCAGGTACGGGCATGGGCTTCCTGCTGGTTCAGGTCACCCGTCCCAGCATCTTGTCTTAGCAGTATGTTGAAGATTATCCTTTTGCTTAGTTTGACTGAAAGTCGAATAGTGGGCCTTGGGCCTGGTATGCGATTCAAGGTCAGTTGCAGGGCGAATGGTTACATGACCAAAGCATATATTTTCACCACTGTCCTTTCTGACAATCAATGAGTCAATGAGTATACCTGCTTCAGGGAACAATGTGAATGGTCGAACAATGGAGCTCTCACTAGAAACAAGTTCCTATTCGCGGTTGAGAATCGTTAGAAATTTAGGTGCCTAGTTCTGGCCAATATTACTATAATTATGCGCACGAACAAAAGGGAAAGGAAACCCCGATGCTGTACTATAAACTCGAAGAGATTGCGTGGATGGCTTGTGCTACTTGCTTTTTGGCGTTTCCAGATCTTTCGTTCTGGAAGACTACAGCAATTGCGACCATCAGCGTCCTCGTGATCTGCATCATGGGCATTGTCGGCCTTCTATCAGCCCTTCACGTCAGACAGCGAGATACACAGCAGCTCTATATCAGATATCGTCGTCTTTCACAGAAGACCGGGGACAGTATGCCTGCACAGGCCGCAGAGGACACCATCTGTGATGTGCGTCGAGATGGCAACGTTCAGCGTATTCAAGATTCAACCCGGATCCGAAATGAATGCCTCCGGGCAAGTGACATACTGCCTTCTGTCACCGAGATAGGAGACTTTGAAGATGAAGATGCTTATGCAAAACCTCTATACACATATCCGCAGGGACGTAGCTCTCCCGCAGTTGATGAGGCACAGCCAACACAGGTTGCAGTGAAGGCAAGTGGAGGACACACGCATGGATCTGATCTTGCCAAACGCTCAACATTTATGCTAGGTGTCACCAAAACTCAACAGCGAAGCATGAAGTCAAAGTCTATACCAAGCGAAGACAGGATCTCGTCTTTCACATATGGCCCAGAATCTGCGAAAACCAGGCTTAGGGTGAAATTTCACAAAATGACTTTTTCCCATTTTCAGCTTCTACTAGGCATAGGAGGTCAGGAGACAAAATATTACAGGTGTGGGTCGACTCATAGTGGTATTAAAAGTATCTCAAACACACCAGGGTATTGTGTTAAAAAATCCCAAAAAAAACACAAAATTGTTATCACAGGAAAGAAATGAAGAGAGATCCACCAGAGTGAAGGAAGAGACATGGATGATTTTTGTTTAGGTGACATGACAAGGTAGGCATGTGGGGGCAGGCTTGTTGTGGCCCCTTGGTGCTGCAGGCTGTAGTGGCCATGCACAGTTCTGCATGAATTTTGTTTGCTCCTCACTCAGCACATTCTGGGGCTGCATACATGTACTGGCATGCTCTGGCGCTACACACCACAAGGAAACCCGACTCCAGTTGAGATGGCACCTTTTGAAGGGTGAATCTAGTACAACTATTCAAAAACAAGCAAGAACACAGCCTTTCAAACTGTTCCACTGTTCGTAGTATGCGCATAGTGATAGTGTGCTGGCGTGCTGCAGTGTCTGCTTGGTGCTGACCAGCAAGTGAAATCTCGGCACGCCGTACAATCCCTTGCAGCTAGCTGTCCAGCGAGGAAAGTCTCGAGTGGAGGCCTCTCGATCTGCTCGCTCATTCGCCTGGCATTCAGTAGCACTTCATCGCCAAGGACTTCAATTCAAAACAGTTTTCACACTGCGCTTCTAGCCTTTTTTCCTCGTGAACTTGCTGCAAACGTATGAGCTCGGCTGCGCGTGTTCCCTCTGCGTGAGGCCCAGAAACAGCTAGTATCTCCATACTTCGATTGGCTGGGTCGATGCCGTCCAGGTTCTCCTCGCTATCGCCATCACGACTCTAACTGGAGACGATTTCTTCACCATTTTCCGCAAGCAGCAGCTAGCGCAGAAATTTCGCCATCCCTGAGTGAAGGAGATGGAATCCGTTCGATCAGCTCAAAAACTCTTCGTTGTGACTAGAGGAGTAGCAGGGAATATTCTACCGGAAGCCCTTTGACTTCCCTGACTGCTGAAACCCTTCCTGCCATGACTGCTACTTCTTCAAACAAGCGAGATTCTCTTTGATTCCACTTCACTGCACTCGAGCGTCCACGCGACACAACCTTTTTACAAAACATCATTTTTCTCAAAAAAATGATTTTCACCCTAAGCCTGGTTTTCGCAGAAGTTGGGCCATATCCAGAGCCATCTCACAAGGCAAGAACGTGCTACCGATTGGATGGACTTGTTGAAACATTGCCAGAGGATCCGAAAGACCGGATGCAGGATGTTGTTCCATACATGACTACACCCAACACAAATTTGCAAGGCGACCGCATTGGACAGGTCCCAGAAGTGCACGAAGACAGCGATATCTACGAAGCAGCAGATGACACTGACTATGTAGAGGATGAAATCTACTTGAACGCCGATGTCCGAGGTGATTGCTCTCCCTCCTCCAGTTGTTACATGGCAATGGTGTAATTTTATCATGGTCGGAATTCTCCATCTTGTCCGCTCACATTCATAACAGCTTTTATAACTGTGAACGTTCCCAGTGCGAGTTCTGTTAATTTGCACATTCCAGACATGATGAAGTTATTAAAAGTCAGGTCGTTGAATCACGTGAAAACTAACGTCTGAACATTCTGAATCACAAGCTTTACTGCTTATAACTGTTAACGTAATGTTGGACAAAGAAACATGATTTTAAACTTGTAATCCGATCTCTCACTTTAAATTCTTGGCCCTTCATCAGAGTCTTACTGATAATATTTGTCATTTCGAGGCGTATAGAGCAAATAGTTATGGACGCTTTCACAATATCAACAGTATCAGTGTCCACGCATGGTGTCAAGTGTACTATTTATCCTTGCATTAGTGCTCACATGCAGCTAGCACTTGGTTTTGTTATTTGATAACTACATTCGTGTGGCAGAAACTCGTTCAATGCTAAGTAGCAGCACCCTACAAAACTGGTATGGAAAGTCTGGTCAGGAAACCAGCCACAATATGCCGACCAAGGAACGTGTTTGTGTCAAAAGGGACACACCAGGAGGCAACTGTTGGTACGTGTGTCGATCACGTAAAGCTGTAGAAGAATCGGTCGCTCATATCGGTGTGAGCCTCACCAAATCTATCAGATGTGCTCCTGAATATGTCCATGATCCATGCTATGGGGCGGTTATTATGGTGTCTTGCACAGGGCATGTGAATGCAAGCTGTGATTATTATAATGAGTACGTGAAGGCATGATTCCCAAACGCAGTCGGAATTTTTTTTTAAAGGAGTTACAATTGTCCAGCAAAAATACACGGTAGGAGAAATATAGATTGTGGGTCTCGCTGCTAGCGTGGGTCATTCATAGTTGGAAATTCCGATTATTATGAATATTCAACTCGTGGTCTACAAATTTGCCAATAACAAGCCAACCAAGAGTACTGCGAGCATTTCTCGCTTTTCAAACATCCGCTGCAGCATGAAAACAACTGTTCGCAGTCTTCGCGGAAACTAACAACGTTCTGAACTGGTGTGTCTCATACAAGCCTTTTACATGATAGTAAACGCATGGTAAGTATTGAGCAGGGAAGCGTTGCAGGGGTTAGGGAATCCCAGAACAGTTTGACTATAGTGGAGTGGAGAGATGGCGGAATTGACATAAACGATGGGTGCTCGCGGATTTGTTATTGTCTTTCAAGCCATGGTGCTTCCCTTTGAAGGTAAGCTCACTCATAGAGATACTGTTTCAATAGACTACTTCAATTTCTAAAATTCATTGAGCTTCAACCGTCATGGCGGCAATAATGGCGGTGCATTCCATCGTCAAGTATCCGTTTTCTAGCATGGCCCTGTTTGGTTTACAGTGTGGTCCCATGAACACACAGGTGCAAACCAGAATCAGATTTGATGTACGTACGTGTGCACATGTATTTCTGTCTCTGTAGAAGCCAAGCTGTGGCGGACGTTTGTCATCACCCTAGCAGCATGTCTTTGTGTATCCTTACTTGTCATCGCCTGGCTTCTGTACCGTTTGGATGTACAAAAAGCTCGGTTCCAGATCCTGCTGAGGAGAGCGCATTCATCTCTCCATAGCAGGAGCTCCACAGCTCCAAATGATACAGGCTTGACGAGGCTGAGTGGTCCAGTCCAGCTAGAGTCCGACCAGGAGCGGCTTGGCAGTTTAGGCACAATACAACCTCTACTCAGTGACCGCGCACTGCATAATAGCGAACGGTGTGTACAGTGTCTAGATGACTGTGCAAGTATCGCAGAGCATGCCGCACCTACCGCTCGCTATCTGGGATCAACTTCTACAAGGGATGTACATGCGCCGGTACAGGGAGATGCGTTACCGGAGGCGGAGACACCATGTGATCACAATCCAACCATACATGTGACCACTGTGACTAAAGTCGACACTGGTCTGGCGCGCACCCAGCGATTCAATTCTGTGCCCGTGCGAACTCCGGCTACACCAGCACGCTCGGCCAGCGTCGCCAGTGAGTATCCGCATCGCTCCAAATACGCAGCACCAAAGTCGAGCCAGACAGCTGTTATCCATGAGGGTACGAGCGAATCACCGTCTCTAGGACCAAGACGAAGTGTCAGGGAGCTGAACATGGATAGCAAACGGTGGTCGCAGGTGCAGAGAGAGGCAACAACAATTGCAGTTGTGAATAGGTCTGGAATGGACGAGCCCAGCCATAAGCAAAGTAACCCTAAGCGTATGTCCCGAGCCGTCAGCCCTACGTTTACAAGCACATTTCGCATTGGCAGGCCACAGACGGCACCTGCAGGAAATACTATTGCCCGCGCAAGTATGTGTCAGGATGACCAGGGATACAACCTGGAACCAGATCTGGTCATCACCTCAACACCGCTTTGAATGCTATCACAAACGCAGCAGGATCTTTAACATTTTATGATTTTCATTTGTTCGCAGCAGGTGTTTAACCCTTAATACCCATGTTTCTACCTTCTCTTTTTGGAATCTCCACAAGCCACCCTGAAAACCATAGGAGGTCATAATACCCTTTTTCATGAATACACTCACATTCCAAGGCCTTTTACAATCTCAATTGCTAGATGCGTTCAAGTATATAAAATTGAAATACAATCAAGCCATGGAGAATCAGTAATGGCGGAATAATAATGCTGCACTGCGGGCTACTTATTACATTAAAACAATAATAATTAGTTTACACATGGAATGGCTGAATTGTTATCATGTTGGATACAGTCCTTTGTGTTCAGAACACATTTTCTCAACTTTTGGAAAAGATTTATACATATATGTAATAGCTGGATTGTTCATTTGCTATTGTTTACCAATTCCACATGAAGAAGATGCTCCTTTTACTGACATAAATCTCTTGAAATTTTCAAACGCGTAATACAGGAAACAGTAAAAGTGTCTATTCCACCTCATACAAGAATCTCATGAATCGTAGTGAAAAGTAGTATGGCGAAAGAGAGTGATATAAATCACATCTTATGAGCTATTCTTTACGTGTCCTACCGTGTGCGATTGTACTGGTCAACACTTTGGTCTTAGCGTCAAAATCACGAGACAGAACCGATGTGAGTAGAACTTTTGACTAACACTTGTCTGCAGCCCAATTACAGATCTAAAGTCTATGATGTGCAAAAAGAATGACGGATTGCTGGCGCACAAGAATCTTTCGCCATGTTTCTAATGGTAACACTTGTATCATTGTGCAGAGCACAGATCAATTTCAATGATTCTCGCTTTTTGGCAACGCCGAATCTAGAGTCCTTACATAGGTTTCATCTTGTGATATTTTTGCTCATTTTGGAATCTTCGCGCTAGCTTGTGTATACAGGAGCTTTGAAGATCTGCTACAGCTGTTATGCTACTAACCACCACATGATCAGACTGTGAACTACAAAGTGTAGTGCAGTACAGTGGGCATGGAAATCTTCACGTGATCAGACTAAACTCTGCCTGGGTCTAGACACAATATGTCGTCAACGCGATGCTACAGGATACGACCACAGTGCAAACACTGCTAGCACTGGACATACTGGATTACTGGTAGCGTCCGTAGCGCCAGCCATCCGTCAAGCTTGACAGCCTCAGTAAGGGCGGCACAGGCGCGACTGATCAGTGGAGTTGGAGTCCAAGGCGCTGTGAGCTATTCCGCCTTGAACCATACATTCAGAGTCCCTGCGAATGCCACAGCGGGTCAAAGCAGACTTATAATTATTTCAATCCTAAAAGAAAATTAGCTATTGCCTAGCAAAATTCTGTTCGTACCCCTCATTCTATTGAGCTTCCACTGAAGACTGAGAACCACGTAGGGAGCTGGGAGCAGAGTTGAGGACCATGGACGCCAATTGCACAACGCCCGCCTCCAACGGTAAGAGGATATTCAATGAACTTCCAAAATAGTGCCAGGGCAACTCTCTCTAGTCCGAGGAGTGACCCACAAGATGATATGGGGCGATTATGCTGCGTATTGGTGGGCCGTTCTGTAGCACTAACGTAAGGACGCCTGTCTTTGGAAAGGCTCTTCAACAGCTGTGTTCTGAGCAATAAAGGCCTCAAATGTACTCCAGCTCCACTAGACGCTGCGGAGAATGAATGAATGGGCACTCGGATATGAAAATGACACATTGCGAGCAGTACAAACCCTTTGCCGATAAGCTCGGCTCAGTATGCTGTCAATTAGTCCGGGTCGTTCCGAATGGATCCAGCATTCAGTCATCTGCTTCGCCTACTGTAGCTGCATTGTACAACTGCTGTGTACTTCTGATTTCTGACTTTGCATGATGGCATCCTTGGCCCATTATGGCGAAGAAAGATGGATGTCATGAAACGATTTTTCCGTGACCTGACCTACTGTGCACCTAGTCGTGTATCCTTGGTATCGTGTACTGGTACCTGGATAGTCCACTGGTACCTGGATAGTCCACTGGTACCTGGATAGTCCACTGGTACCTGGATAGTCCACTGGTACCTGGATAGTCCACTGGTACCTGGATAGTCCACTGGTACCTGGATAGTCCACTGCCGACTGAAGTAGGCTAACAGGTGCTTATCCTCCATCCTTTTACTGAGCCAACTCCCAAATGTGGATGTGATTGCAATTATAGCTAATTTTGGCAATTTTGTGGTCACTTTCATATCTTATGTGTATTTTTTGTTTTCTGGTCCTTCAGATCCAAACTGGACAACTTCAATGTGGGGTCTTTCCATCGGCTTGGGCGTATCATTGCTCGTGAATATTCTGCTTACAGCTATGATGGTTTGCCGATGTGTTCGTAGTTGGCCCAAGAAGGAGATGGATGATTCCCAGGTTGGCGAGACTGCAGTTGATTCCTGGGCCCGCTCCGGTCTTGGAAAAAAGCCAGGCACCACAGCGGAGGCGGATAAGTCATCCAAGGTCGCTTCACACCTGGATAACGCCGAGCGCCCGGTTTCATCTCAGTATGAGGATGTGACACCTCAAGGCAATGAGTATCTTACTTTGCCGGAAGAAGACAGTCAACAACTGCCGACTGCCAGCCATCAGCCGCAAACGTATGAAGCCATTGAACTAAAGAACGGCGTGGACCAAGGAAATGCATACATGTCGTTAACTCAAACAGATCAAGACAAAGGCGCGCCATCACAAACTACGTCCCAGCCAACACTGACCATTCCGGCCAAGAACGGGACTGACGGCGGGAACATCAGCCAAGGATTGCACTCCGGTAAAGTCGAGCATATCCTACCGCTAGTGGCACCAAGGTCGCCAGCAAGCCTCACCAATGATCAACGACCGGTCTCACCGAGATCTATGGTGAACTTGTCGGCTTTCGGCAACGACACACCCCCACAGGTGCCGAGCAGACTACACATCGACAACTTGAAATCGAACTCCATGTCAACTCTCTCCACCCGGCAGGCTGAAGCTTCATCATCACCCCCTGGGGAGTATGCATATGTTACCAACTTGGACGCCTTCAAGAATTCCCCTGTGGCCAATTCTCCGAGGAATCAGGGCTTCCAGTTTAACGTCGTCACAGTCCCAGGTGCCCCGATGTCTGCAATGGAAGGGAACGCTTACGCTTCTCTATCGGAAATGTCTCCTTCTGGTGAGTACTCCTCGCTATCGCCTGCTGTGTCAGTGACGCGACCGGCCGGAGCACGGCTTGACGATGGTCTGGAATCGGAGTTAGCTGACGAAGGTATGGATCAAGTTACTTCCCAGCTTCCTTCCCATCCATCACCGCGCCTTGTAATGAGAAATGACACTATAACAGGCAAGCCGTACTCCTATGCACCACCAGAAGCCACGGCGGAGCGATTTAAGAATGAAAAATAGAGCCAAACAAAAAAACGTGCTCCCTAAAATTTATGTTTTGAGTATGACATGAGCAACTTGATCGTTTATTGTAGTGGACAATTTTCACAGAATTTACAGTAGAAGAAGAACTAGTACCTACATTATATCGAAGCACTCTGCTGGCTGCATAAAAGCGCCTCCATTTGAAGTCACGTACCCAAATCATGATAACACCGCATTGCATTCGAGGTCAGCCCGCCATCCCTGAAAACTCCATTTGGATTTCCAGCTGAGGGCACGGTAGGCTCCCTGGCACTTCCATTGACGGCGATGACCTTGATCACTGTGACTATTGCATCATCGGAGTTCATCAGTCGTACCCCGTCGACCTCAGTAGCATGGGTCTACTAGGTCAATATGACCACTAGCTAAATTGAACGAACTATAACATTACAACAGCCTGTTGTACCCCCACACACCTCTCCTTCACCTCTCACGTGTGTCCATCTGTGCCACCTGATCCCATTCATTGCCACTAATCTGTCTTCCTGCCTTTCCTCACATCCCTTCGCCTCGTTTTAAGCTCTTGTGCGCTTATTTCTACAAGCCCAACACGTTGCTACTCAGCCTAACTCTCCGTTTTCTAGTTCTGGCGGGCATAGTGATTAGCATTGTTGAAGTGCATTCATTAATACAATTTCTCCGCAGGATTTATCGTGGCATATTGTTTCCTGAGCTACAATTGAGATGTCATAGAACATTATTGTGGGAAGTTAAGGAGAAACCCCGACACAAGCCTATTTTACACTCAGAGCACATGGTTTTTCATAACTGACCGGTTTCACTGCTTTCAGCAGATCAAAAGCACATCCATGTACTGTACTCTTCGTTTTCGGGGCTCAAGGGGTCGATTTGTTTAGGGGTCGGCTCGGACTGTGGCCGAGGCCCAGGTCGCTTGCTCGTGAGCACTCAGATTTAAAATATTTGTAAGGTATGGAATACGCATTAGGTACACCAAATGAAGGTAAATAGGGTTGTTTCGTTGCAACTCAGACTTTCATGGCAAAATCCAACCACCAGACAACATTAGATGATTGGTTTTCGCCGTGAAACTCTGAGTAACAACGAAGCAGCCCTATCTTACTCCTCTTGCGTACTATGCTATGCCCATGACGGGCATTTGAGCACTATTGCAGGTTTTTACAAAAAAAACACACACCATTTGATGGCACAAAGCAGCAAGCCTCTGTGTATAGTATACAGTATGTATGTACATGTATGTGTGCTGGACTCAGAAAATTAACTTATTCGTTACACTTTACAGTGGCTGCTGATGACGGTCAATTTTTCTGCACTTTTTCCCGTTTTCAACTTCTGATGAATATTTTCAAGGCTTTGTTATGAATCTCAGGCTGTTCTATTGTCTCTTGGTGTGATGGGAATTATCTTCAGAATAGTGTTGCCTTGTATTCTGATATTCTTAATTTTCGTGATTCAAATCTTTGGAAAATAGAAGAAGTGAGTGATCACCCATACTACGCAATCTACTCAATCTGCGGACAGAACTGTTTCGTCCGTTGTGGACTCATTAGCGCAGCACAGAGAAAATGAGGCCGAACCTGATAATAATGAAAAACAAATTTTCCAATGCCAGATTTTCAACCCGGCCTGAACATGCCTTGCAAGAGTGCTCAGACTGACAAGTCAGTGAGCTCTGCGTAATCCAAACAGCAAAGACACTACTCCACACAAGAGTGCTCAACTGCTACAAAGGCAGGAGCGACACACTCAATCTGCGTAATCTGTATTCTTTTTATTCCAAAATTGTGGCCATTGCTCTGTCTCGGATCGCCTAGGTAAGAGAGATATGAGTATATATCCCGCCTCTACATTGGAGTGCTTAAAATTCTACTCCACGCCAATCTATCCCAATGCTGTGAATATAACGCAGCAGCTAACAGGTAACTGTTACGACGACCACATTTTCACACGGAACTAACTTCACGAGTGTGTAAATGTATATGCATGTAGCTGATACGTGGGTAGAAGGGAGACAATGTGCTGGTGCTGTGACTCCGATTTTCAGGTCTCACGTGTTTTAACGCTCATCATACAGCACCACCCCCCCCCCTCACCCCGGGTGTACATGTACATGTAGCTGGTAACCATGGGGACCACAGCATTCGACAAGACTGTAAGTTGTTTGCAGAAGTAGTTTACTATTCAATGGAATCCTTTGGCGCATGGGTGACTGCAGCAATTTAGTAAGCCTACACTCCTGCCGACCTTCACCAGGAGGACCGTAACTCTGAACTCTTAGTACTTTGAGTTTTGCTCTACATGCAGCTACAAAGACGAACTCTAGCATGCAATGATAGTTCAATCGAACCATACCATTCATTCGATTCCCTGTACGAGGGCATTACCTTGGTAGGTTTGCGTGTGCTGCAGGACATACCGGTAAACGGAGGCGATTTTAGCTTCAACTAGAGGAATTTGTTGACAAGGAGAGTACATGTACTGGGTGGCAACGGATTAGTCGTGTCTCATTGCAATGCTTCGTGGGGATGAGTGACACTCGTCGAGAACACGTCCCGTGATGCGTCAGCGGCGGTCTACACCAAGGATCATAATATTGACGTCAACTCGAGAATTCTATACTGGTAGTGTATTTTTACACTCAGTAGACTATGTGCTCGTGTTGCCAGATGGTGCCACGTTTTGCCAGGGACGTGCAGATACTACGCTAGTAAAATGGTACTGCCCCAAGAGATTTCCTTTAGTAGCGCCAAAAACCAGACGTAGAAGAGAGAGACACTTAGAGAATTTCACTTCATCTGAGCGCCCCAAGGGCAGCGAACATCAGGTCAGGTGAACCCATAATACTAGCCGTTCTCATCCTGGTGGCCATGTTTTTTCAATGCCTATATGCAATAAGGGAGGCTCTCTCCAAGACAAAGAAGATGATGCCGTGCATCTTACTAACATACTTCGAAGTAGTCTCAAAAGGCTGTTTTTGTCGGAGAGTTCCCTGTTAATGCAACCGAACCCACGCACATGTTAACACCAAATTCGCGTTGCCAGGTGAGCGCCATCACGTCTAGAACGTATGACCTGGGTGGTCGTGCCAGCATGTGGCTACTTGTGGCGCATGTGCTCTGTCACCATTGGATGTTGCGGGGCTGTCGCTGAAGTCAAACAGCAGTGTGCTGGCGAGCGCTTCGTTTCTGCCAATCCCTGCGCCGTCTGTACAGAGCCGTCTAGTGTCATAACGTCCGAACTCCATGAACGTTGGATCTGGCCGTGGGGGGTCTCGTGGTCGTGTGGCTAGTATGCTGTGTGTTCTGTATCATGTTCGGCCGAATCTGTTTTGCTTGTTGACGGCATGTAACTGAGCCCTGATACGCTGCCACCGGTCACGTCAGACAAGGCTGTAGTGGCAGCTTCTGCTCATTTCACTGTTCTTAGTCCGTCCGCTAGGAGCTAAGCAGGGTGAAGTGTGCTGATCTTTCAACACAATGAGTTCTTCCAAAACTAAATACATTGTACATGTATTATGTGAATAACTAGTTCCAATAGGTTGATGTTTTTGTCGCTTTCCGGAGAGGACAGGTCCGCAGTAATTTTACTTCACATGTAGTGTGCTGCAGGCTGGAAGGATGGACAGCGAATCAACGACTCTACTGACTGCGACGCTTGGAACTGTTTCAACCTCTCAAGCGGCGTATGCCGGCAATACCATGGACGGTAAGCTACGCAGAGCCGGTTTTCAAGAACAATACAGATGTAACTAAGGTGTAATGGCTCGTGAAATGTCGATCCGTTCAATCTCACTGTCATGTAACTGGGCTGAAATGTGTGATTATTATTATGTTGAATGTCGACTGTGATTCAGTTCCAAAACCAAGCAATAGCATGCATAGGGAACGGCTTGTGGTGTCGTGTACGTTCGAAATCGAGATTCATTCACACCTACAGGTATGACGAACTTTCGTAGAAGGGTACGAGGGTTGAGATACTCTTTAACTCATTGAATTTCTACTGTAATCGATAAGTTGCAACAGGGCTATAATTCAAATAAAGAGACATAATTATCGAATCTACTCCCCTCTCCTTTTTGTGATCAATGCAGAAGGCCATTTGATCTGGGCCATCATCTGCCTTGGTTGTTTGGACATGGGATTAGTAACCCTGATAATCACCATACTGTGGAACTGGAAGCGACTTCCTCAGCTAGATGCAGACCGCAGCAGCATGTTGCTCGGGCTCAGCCGCAGCCCTGCATATTCCGGCTCCGCAAGATATCTCACATTACCCCGGTCAGCAGCGCACGCAGCCAACACCGCTTCGAGTAGGAAGCGAAAGTCTGCTGAAGTCGAAGCTCATGCCTCCACATTGGATAGATCCCATTCTGAAAATAGAAGCTTTGTGCGTCAACGAACTTCGCCCGCTCCACCTGATCCCACCTCAACTCCTCCAGATTGGGCGATGAACATCAGCTCATCATTGGAGCCATCTGAGGAGCCCTGCAGGCCATGGCACCATCGGTTTTCTCTTCCTCTCCCTCCTGTGGACGACCGCGGCACCCAACAACACACGGGACAAGCACTCCGGATCAGAAAGAGCACCGGGAGTCTAGACTTTTCTGGTCACGCAAGTCCTGACAAGTCGTGGAGAAACTCACTTCCATTACCAAAACCTAACACCGCACAAGCCCAGGGTTGGTCCGCACCCTCCTCGCCACCCGATTATTCCAAACCATCTACATGTGTTGAAAGTGAGTATGTAGATCCTGGGACCTTCCCTACCAACACATCCTCGAAACAAGAAGCCCTACTGGTCCGCAAGCCGTCGAGATACTCTGCCCGATCTAGCTTTGCGAACCTTGCCTCAGTCGCTGAAACTGAAAATGACTACTTAGTTCTCCAGTAAACCTGATCACGTGATTCACGTATCACTCGGCGGCATACAATACCAGTCTAATCATATTGGATGATGTCCTGTGTGGGTCCATTGTGAAGCAAAGGCACAATGAACCACCTAATCAGTATTTCTCTAGCCTTTCCAGAGGCATTTGCCACAGGGTGGCTAAATCGTTTCCAATTCTTTCTCTTCCTTTTTTCGCCCCGATAACAGGACTACATATTCCGGTCTTTTCTCCCGCATGCTACACTAGTGTGCTGCGGCTCCGGCACGTATGGTCGGACCTGCTCCGCAAAATCCCTCCTCGTCCCCCCCCCTTCTCTCTCTCTCTCTCTCTCTCTCCCACCTCCCCCTCTCTCTCTCCCTCATCCCTCACTGCCTTGTGTCGCACTCTTTTCCCATATTGTGTCAACGCCCCTCCCCCACCCAACATCACGGGCCTCGCGGTGAAATTATACTTGTTTTAATTTATGCTTACTATTAACAAGTGTAGGAAGAAGACTCATGGTTGTAGCGTGCTGCTCTACTATCACGTTTGCTATTCCAGGTCCAATTTATTTGTTGTAAAACACACAATTTACGAACGTATTGTTGTCCCTCACGCGGACGTGCGACTAGTTGTTGGAGGTGACAGCGTTGTGAATAGCTATACTGGCTCTCAATGTCTGTTTAGCACAACTCCATGAGCGACTCTGACTCACGCTGCTACCTGGGGCTTCACGAGGTGTTTGTCGCGCTGGAAACAAAGCGTTTCTGTAAGTTTGCATCCCTGGTGATGGTTTGGCCAGGAGAGCAGTATATAAGTGGTGCCCTTCAGGCACAATCATCCTCAGCCTACTCAAGCTCAACTGATGAGGGGTGAATTCCCCGAAACACTGTGTATGGAGCAGGGAGTGGTGCTTTCTTTCAGGTTTGCCGAGCGGAAGGTACGACGTGCTCCTCGTGTGCTCCGGATGGCAGTCGTGAGTCAGTCAAGTGTCAAGTTCGGCAAGAAGCGTGTGCTCCTCGTTGGAGCAACCAACTTACACACAATTTAGATAGTGTAATTTCATTGCTATCATGTTTCGCCTCGCTTTATCTGTGCTGCTCTGATGCATCCACGAGTGACCTAACAGATCTGTCCGCAGATAGATTATTGGCTATGCACATTGCTTTGGTTATGTGCATAAGCTTGTGCCGCCTGGGCAGAGTGAATTGGGTGTGCGCGCATGAGTGTGTGTGTGTAGTATTACATTGTTGGCGGATGTGCTATACAAATGAGCGAGTGTGGTTGTTTGAGCTCTACATGTAGTGATGTACATGTAGTTATGTACATGTAGTGATGTACATGTAGGGATGTACATGTAGGGATGTACATGTAGGGATGTACATGTAGGGATGTACATGTAGGGATGTACATGTAGTTATGTACATGTAGTGGTGTACATGTAGTGGTGTACATGTAGTCGTGTATGGTATTGACTTGTACTGTGAGGATATAGTAGGGTGACTGCCTTTGCATAGCTATGCAGATGTGCTTGTGAATGTACATTCAGAATGTAAATGTAAATTCAGACCTTCGCCACAGCCCTTGGGCAATGGAACTACTCTAGAACCTCAGCCACTGCTTTGCTCTATATTCAAAACATGTCTTAACCTTGCTCTCTACTTATCTTTTCTCCATCGTTCTCTGTATCTCATTCTAGGGATTTCTCTATTTCTCTCTCTCTCTTTGTCTGTCTGTCTGTCTCTCTCGCTTACTTACTTCTGTGTGTGTGTCTCTCTCCCTGTCTCTCTCTTTCTTTCTGTGTGTGGGTGTCTCTCTCTCTGTCTTTCTCTGTCTTTGTCCACCTCTTTCTCAGTCCTTGTCACTTTCTCCCGCTGTCTCTCTCTCTCTCTTTCTGCCTACCTACCATATTACCTACCTCTCGACCTACCGCCGACCTACCTATCTACCTACTTATCTACCTACTTATCTACCTACCTACCTACCTACCTATCTATCTCTCTATCTCTTTATCTATATATCTATCTATCCATCTACCCAATGCTGTAGACAGCAAGCTGTTTCGGCCACAGAGGAATCATCAGTAAATCTATGAGCTAAGTAGGCCGAGCTACCAGCCATGGTGCAAAGGAGGCACCACAGAAATTTAGATAGCTCGTCGCTTTAGCACCAGAGTGCTGAAATTACAAAATGTAGTGGGCATTGCGCGATGCAGCAGCAACTAGAGCAGCCCACGGAGAGCGCTCAAGAAGGCGAAAGGCGAGGAGCGTAATACCCAATGCTGAAGACAGCAAGCTGTTTCGGCCATAATGGCCTCATAAGTACAGCTACGAGCTAAATAGGCCGAGCTACCAGCCATGGTGCAAAGGAGGCACCACAGACATTAAGATAGCACGTCGCTCTAGCGCCAGAGTGCTCAAACTACAAGAAGTAGCGGGCATTGCGCGATGCAGCAGCACTAGAGCCGCCCACAGATCTATCTATCTATCTATCTATCTATCTATCTTCACCTCATGAGCATCAAGCATCAGTGTGAGTCATTGCTGCCCAGGGAGAGGTGAGAGCAGAACCTAAGGGTAAATAAACATTCTCAATGCTGAAATATCTAACCGTTTTAAAATTGCATTCCCGCGTGATGGACAACAATACGAATATACTTCGATGTGGATGATTGTACTTCAGCCAAAATGTGAGAAGAAATTAACTCCTCCGCACTTTGGATCTCGCGCCTTCTGCCGACTGAATTGGCACTTGACCTACTAACGCGACTGTCTGGAGTTCGACAAGTGTTTATCGACCTGCAAAGGGAGCGTCACTGCATTATTTGGTATTCGTTGCAATGTTATGGCTATGAAAGCACTGCATAATGCGGTGCCTTCTTGCACAAATTTCACGACCAATCATAAGCATACTCTAGCTCAACTGATGGGGAGTGGATTGAGCAAAACACTGCGGACCTGCTGGAACCTAGTTCTTTCTTGACGGGTTCACGAGCGGAAGGTTAAATGGAACACCCTTGTGCTGTAGATATCAGTCGTGAGGCAGTCACGTGTCAAGCCAGTCTGGAAGCTCCAACGTTCGAATCCGCTACATGTTCTTTGCATGTTGCCATTGATGTCGCAGAATATAAGCTAGCTGAACACACAAGTGTTCATTGTTGTCTGAGGCTTGACCGAATAATTGCCACCAAACTCTGAGTGGTTGCATAGATATAGCCTAGGTCCATTGTCAAATTCTGTCATTTGACTATTCCTTCGATGAATGGAGCAAATATGCAAGCACTATACAGTTTAAGTTGCAGATAGGCACATCATAATTGTATAAACCACAGAATTTCACACCCTACTTGACCTCATGAGTACATTACAATTAGCCCCAAAAAGAACATAGAGGAGTACAATGTGCAGCCATTTTATGTTCTCTCTCTCTTCTCTCTTCTCTCTCTCTCTCCCTCTCCCTCTCCCTCTCTCTCTCTCTCTCTCTCTCTCTCTCTCTCTCTCTCTCTCTCTCTCTTTCTCGCTCTCTCTCTCGCTCTCTCTCCCTGTTTTGGCGGACAAAACATCTCTGGCGTTTATTGCTTTCTTGCTTCGACTTCTGCCGCGCCTCTGTTCTCGTACTCCCCTTTATGTACAAGTGTTGTGAAAACCCTCCTTTAATATAGTCGGTCCCATTTTGCCCTGAGATGTTTTGATGCATAGTGATTATGACGCTCATCATTCGCGCCCTTGTCACTGCACATTTCTGTCCGTTGGGTTTTAGCGAATTCAAATAAAGAAAACAAACAAACAAATGTAAGGGCTGAATGAGCAATTCCTTAACTAGCCGAATTGTCGCTGGTCAGATCTCTTGTCCAAATTTGCTCCATTGGACAAAATCTTGATTGCGGATTCCAGTGTGTCAATTATCAGCTACATATATTTCCAAGTGCCTCAAACTTGCTCTTTATGCAAAGTGTCTGTACTCAGTGTGTTCCCTAACAGATGCGTTCGGTCACTGATTTCTGTTGCTACCTTAATGCCGGATTTTGATTTACTTCGATGCCGCACCAAATGTTCGTTGTTCATTCCTGAGTCCATTTCGCACGTGCGACTGCATTGCCAGGTCACCACAGCTTACATACATGTATGAGTGCATAACGACAATGATGGAAAGCAACCCATTGCGGGAAATTGGATGGGACCGGTGATGTCTATATTGCCTGCCAGTTGCCACTTGTGACCGCGGGAACTATTTTCTCTAGACACAGAATCTCACCACAGTGCTATATTGAGACACACGTAGGAATTCATCCATGCTCGCACGTACTGTCACATCGGATTGAAAAATCACACACTGCACAGTTTCTTGCGAAAATGACGCTGTGCACTCTTGATTACATGTTAGTAGTTATGACATTACCAGTGTGTGCACAGCTGTTCGTTTACGTTTCAGATCCAGGTTTAGAGCTAGAATGACAAGCACGAACATGATGCATGTACCGATTTGTATTTTTGCCTGTGGATGAGACTTCATCAGCTCAACTCAGAGCTGAAATAGACTGAACTGTCAGCCATGCCGTCATCCGCCACACTAAAAGTGACAGATGAATGTAACGGCGCTAAGAGTCACCACAAACACTGGAACGTGAAGCTGGGCGAGCATGGAGACAGGCAACGCAATTTCGTCCAAGCGTAGCTCTTATCAATTCTGGGACATGCAGAATCGTACACTAACCCACTATCTAAAGGTGGATTTCGAACACCCCGTGTACAAAGTGCTAGGCCTTTTCTATTATAACTTATCAACGGCTAGCATATATTCAATGTGACCACTGGACACATTCGTGTGTGACACGACTACTATCCGTCTTTGACTTGGCGGTGATTGTACCCATTGCAAACTCTCCTCCGCTCTTAGATGAATTTGCTGTGGTGACCGGATCGGATTTATTTGTAAGTCACTTCAAGCACCTACCAATCAAGCCAGCAAGCTGTGTGCAATCTCCGCTCCCCGTTCCGGCAATCCACAGTCTTGATAAGCGGTCAAACAACTCCAGCTTATGACTTTCGCAGCCTGGAGACAAGCTGCAGTACGAAAATGGATGGTAAGTGAAAAACATATCCCGTAATCCATGTGAATATTTACTGCACATCCCGCCAGTACATGTTGAAGAAACCAGGGAAATCCTGGGGCAGACTAGCGCTAGCAAACAGCCCACAGATATCATTGCAAATTTTCGACCATCGGTTTCTAACCCAATACTCTAATAAGTATTATAGTTTCTTATTTTACTCCCTTTTCCAAAAGAAGCTGAGCTCATCGCATATTTAAATCCTCGATTCGGACAGCTTGCCCAAGGCGCATCGTTATGACTTTTACCAACGTCCACAACAGGGGGGGAAGAGCTCACATAACCCGTATCTCGTCATTAGGAAGGCAGGGGTACACCCAATCTATGTACATTTACGCTAGTTCACCACGTCATCGTTCATCACATACGGACACAAGCTTCCAGGCCAAGGATATGTTGGTGATGTAAACTCACTTACGTTAGACCAAACCTCGAATGAAATCCAGAAAATTAACGAAAGATCGGTTTTATTGTGCAAACGGCCCGGCCCTTCTTTCCCTGCACCATCTTGTAGCCCCCACTTCCCTCAAACATTATTAATTTCGGTCTTTTTTGGTTAGTGAAGGATACGTTGATAAAATCCTTGATTACCTCATAAGTGTCCGTTTGCAGTTGTCGCCCTGATCTTCGGCATTGTTCCCTCTCTTTTTTTTCTCTGTATCCATGCAGGGAAAACGGTAGCCATAGTAGCCCTCGGCTCGGCACTGGTAGTGGTTTTTCTCCTCGCACTTTTTCTGGTTAGGTGGATATGCGTGCTCAACCGTCCGTACCAGAGACAGCGCAATGTAAAGCCGGCTCATACAAGCATGATCGATGACACAATTATAGCATCAGACTCACCTGAATCTTCCGGAAGACTGGCATTGCTTCCACTCTCTACTGCGGATGATCTTTCCCAGGACGCCTCACCCACTGAAATTCCAGCTTTGGACATCTGCTCATCGCTGGAATCGCCAGAGTTGCCTCCCAAGCCTATACAGCCGTCATTGGCCCTCACTAAAACAGCTATTAGCGACAAGGGAGAGAAGCGCAACACACACGAAGTCGTCCATATTAGAAACAGAAGTGGAAGCGGTCGCATGAATGATAGTGGAAGCGTCGGAAAATCAGGATTTGGCAGCTTTCAGGGACCTGCCATTGAGATACCGATAGACGATATCCCGCCAGAAAACTCTGCTTTTCCAAATGACAGCAGCCTCTCTTCAAAGGTTGAAGGTGACACCGCCCGTTTTCGATTACTGTGGAAGGATCATTCCCCGATTCTCTCCGTTTCAATACCACTAGACACTATATCGGCAGCACTTACTTCCCGTGCAAATACTATCACCTCTCAGACAACGGAAAGTGACAATGGAAGCTGTCGGGTGTTTCGGAGGGAGCAATCCACAATCGCTCCACAAACACGGCAATCATCCGCGATCCGATCAAATCGAACAAAATTGGAACGTACAGGTTCAATTGAGTACGAGGAACTGACGGACGAGATCGAAGCCAGTACGGCTCGCTACCTCGGAGTCACTCTGGACGAAAATCTTCGCTGGTCACCGCAAGTCACCTCTATCGTCCGACGCACGGCTATGAAGCTGCGGATCCTCCGCCAGATCCGGCACTGCCTAACAGTGAGGCAGGCGATGCTGTATTACTCTGCCCTTGTCATACCGGATATTCTATATGCGTCGAATGCGTTTCTCCCAGGACTGTCCGCTGAGCAGCGGAACACAGTAGCCAAACTGGATAAACGTTGTATCCGTTGCGTGGCCGATGAGCACCCATTGGCCCACACTCTTCCCCTGTACACCAGGCTGGGTGTCTGCTCAGTGCTGGAACGAGGAGAATGCAAGCTCCGACTCCTGACATTTAGAATCCGTTCTGGAATCGTCAGTGAGCTGTTGTCGTCCCGAATTGTATTGCAAGGCCCGCCGACAGGCATGACCACTCGAGGTCAATTGGGACGCAACCTTCCCCTCCCCCTGGCCCACAGTGCTTCTGGCGCATGCCGACCGCTTCTAGCCAGCTGCCGACTCTGGAATGGCCTACCCGACTGTATGAAGTCCATAGTATCTGTCCGTGAATTCAAACGCATGCTGCGCGTATTTTACTTCGGTTAAATGTAATGGCTTTTGTAACCTGCTGATGAGGCTCGATAGAATCATGCTACGATGACCCGACTTGTAAATTTGAGATCCATTTTTTTCTGCTCGTCTTGACCCTGCCTCCTCTCATTGCTACTTCCATTTTCGTATTTCTATTTTCATTTATTTTTCTCTTCATTTCTGACTCCTCTTACTGGTTGTCATCGCTTCCATAATATTGGGCAGAACTGCCCGTTTGCCTTGCGATGTAAAATAAATAAACAACAAAAAAAAACAACAAAAAAGACTACCTCACCATCGAGGATGACGACGACCTGCAACTTACAGCCAACAGCCAAAAGCAAGAAAGCTATGGAGAAACTGAACCAATTGCATCGACTTCGCGTCACATCAACGAAGGGTGCAAAGGAAACATGTTCTTGTCCTTAACGGGAAATGATCTAGATTCAGACATCCCGCCACAAACTACTCCATGCCTTACACCAGCAATATCTGGAAAAGGTGGATCTGACCGTGATTTCAAATTTGAGAGCATGTACATGTATTCAGCTGAGCAAAGCAGACCACCAGTGTCACCAAGATCGTCAGCTAACCTTTCCTATGGTGAACGCCCAGTAACAGCAAGATCTATGATGAACCTGTCGGCCTGCACCAACGACACACCACCAGTAGCACCAAGATCGTCAGCTAACCTTCTCTGCGATGAGCGCCCAGTAACAGTGAGATCTATGATGAACCAGTCGGCCTACACCGACGAAGCACCACCAGAGGTAGCAAGCAGATCACACCTCAACAACATGAGATCCAGCTCCATGTCGTGTCTTCCCACGCAACCAGCTCAGACTTCATCAACACCCGCTCAGGAGTATATGTATATCGATGATTCGGACGCCTTCAAGAATGCGCCTGTGGCCAATTGCCCGAGGCACGCCTTCCGAGGGAATATCCTCGCACTTCCCGATGGCACAAAGTCTTCAATGCAAAAGAATGCGTACACATCTCTAACAGGGATGTTTAAGGCTAGTCCGTACACCATGTTATCGCCTATGTGTAAGTGACAATGCCTGGCGGTACGATGAACATAGTCGGATTCAGCACTGATGCAAGCTCCTGCCCTCAGCCTTGAATAGAGACTGAACTGCGAGTTCTGGCGTTAAAGCCTTCCAAGCTGTGCCTGATGTTTTCCTTGATAAAACAATACATGCAACAGTAGCAAATGCCATGTTTGACAATGGATCCGTAACTTTCCGAACTGTTGATCTCCAGCTGACTATCCTTTCCAGTACATACACACTGTTGTCTCTCTCTTGTTTTCTTACCTCTTCGCTACCTTGTCATTGGGAAGAAATTCCCGTTTGGATTTTGAGAAGTAAAAACAAAGTAAAAAATAAAATAAAATAGAAGTATGTTTACTCCGAAGGGGACATGCTGAATGGAGTGACTTGTCGATTACCCGTACCTGGATTCAGAGTTTGCAGGTGAAGGCGCGCATGAAGGTCTCGTCCAGTCGCATTAATCACTAAGGCTCCTGACAAAGGCACCTAAAAAAATTCGACGGGTTCGCGTACAGGTCAAGAACAAGCAGCCGTACAACTCCCTTGTCAAGAACTACCTTTCCGCAAAGGCACCTAACATTATGAAAGTACGGCAGAGCGATCCAAGGTTAGAAAGTAGTGCCGTTTGTAGGTAGGTAGGTACATTTTTATTTGAATTCGCAGAACCAAACGGGCGGTGTCGCCCAATTACATGGAAGCGAATGGAATTGACGCACGTGTACCATCTCACCACGCCTGTGCCATCTCACCACAGGGCCTGGCTCCTTTGACATGTAAATCAACATGTGTACTTCAGCTTGACGCGATTAAGAATAGAAATGTCACACTGACAGTTAGCGGTTTTGTGCAAAATGTTGGCGCATCTTCCGCATGTATGTGTAACGTAAACAACTATGAGTTGGATGTAGAACTTAGTGATAAACACACGTGTTGTGCTGTAAAGTATCATGTCATTTACTGTGATGCTGCCAACCATTGCAGCCTCACGAGGATAACTACGAGCTGAAGTAGATCGAGCTAAACCACCCGGCATGGTGTCATAAGCTACAGAGAATATGTCAGTTCAATGGACTAGGGCTGAGAGTGGCAAACTACAGTGGCGTAGCTGGCGACGCACGAAAATAGCCAGCGCTACCCAATATCTATCACGTACAATCTATATTTTTTGCTCCGCTCACACCGACTCGATTCCTCTTCAGGGCCTTAGGCAGGGCCGAAAGACATTATACCCCACGATAGTCTCATGTAAACTCCCAGATCCAATTTGTTGTATTGAGACTAGACATATTGGCCAAAAACCCGTCGGAAGGAATTAATAATAATAATATTATTTTCAGTACTCCGAAGGAACCTCTTGTTGCTGTCGTGGGGAATGAACGTGGTCTGCCTCAGAGCGCAGCGTTCGTGGTAGTGGTGAAGTCAACCCAGAATTTTCAAGGGCCGAGCGGTGCTGCTTACTTTCTTGAGACTAGACTGGACTGGATTTATCTGTGTCCCACGTCCGCCCCACTTCAGCTTCTCAAACAAGGCGACCAGTTTGTGTTCCAGGATCCCTGTTCAGAGCGATATCTAGAAGATGGCAACTAATCCCGGCGTTGATTGTGTAACTGATGGTTTGCTTTCGCAGCAGTCGAGCAGCAACAAGACCATGGATGGTAAGTGCAACAATCCGGTGTGCTTGGTTTATAAATATAATATAATATTGACTGACCACGAGGTCAATATAGAAAAAAAAGCCGAGTAAAAGATCGAGGAGAAGTCGAGGTCTTTTACGAGGTTTTATTCCCGTAGCTATGCAGAAGACGTTACTTCAGTAACGTCTGGCGCTAGCCAGGGTCCACACAGCTTTAACTTGGTGTTTGTTTGTTTGTGTGTTTGTGTGTTTGTGCCACGCCTGGCGCTATCCCGTATCTGTCCCGTACCGTACCGTGCCATCAAACACAGCTGGCCACATACAGCTGGCCACACTATTCAAATTGGGCTTTTAAACGCAAGATGATTAGGGCGTGCTCACACTGCGACCATGAGCACGCGTCGATGCGTCAGCAAAACGCAGAAACTTGGCAGTCGTGCTCACACTAGGCCTCGTACACGCGTAGACGTGAAGTTGTCACACAAACTTTACGAATTGCAGTTCGTATCCAAAAGAGGTCGTGCGTTTCCTAATAAAGTTGTGGCCCATTTTTGAATGTATTTTTTCGCGTGCTGGAGGAAGTGCCTCGTGGCTCGTATTCTTGAAGTCGACGAAAATAATTCACACAATCATGTAGGTTTGGACTCTTGAGGGGCTGCCGCTGACATCCAAGCGCTTTCGCTTTCCTGACCTCGTGGTCAGAGCAAGTGCCAGTGTAGTGGAAATTCCGGTAGTGGTTTCTTTTGTCTGTTGCCGAGATGAGAACTATATTTTCCGATGATATGTAACAGAAATATCTTGAGGTATGGCATTCCATCATCGCAGAAAAGTAGAGAAAGATGATTTCCCAAACCGAAAAGCCAGACCAAGCTACCATCGTATTGAACGAGTACACTGTAGAAACTGGTCACTGACCCAATCAACTGGCAACGAAGCAACTACAAAAGGAAATTGACATCGTCCAAAAAGGGCAAAGATTGCATATATGGCGGTGCGTGCGTACGTGCATGACCACAACTACAAAATTTTAAAATTGCACAAATGTCGAGGATGACATCGACAACCGCCGAGTTTCATGAATCAACACACCGGAATTCGAGAAATTGAACATACTTCAGGCCAGGTTGTACACAAATACGCTTCACATCTACGATCATGTTGCCGCCAAGTCGTGGCACCCCCCATCCGGAGGTCGCGGTCACGATTTGAAACGTGGCCGCGACGTTTTGGTCAAGTTCATGCCGTTGCCATGCAACTTGGCCGCATGGCCGCATGGACGCTGGTGTTGGTCGCAGTGTGAGCGCGCCCTTAAGCAACTTGGAAGAATGAGTATGAATGCGAAGTGTATGGGGGAATGCATGTAGGGCGATAGTGCGGGTTCGAATCCCAGGTAATGCCTGATAAAAATAGGAAAATTGAAAAATTTATAACATCCCTCTTCTGTTTTTGCCGTCATCAAGGCGGTAGATGGTGTCGTAATACCCTCGACCGTACCTGTCCCGTACCTGTCCCGTACGGTACCGTACAATCAAAGACGGCTGGCCACAATGCATATTCAAATCGGGCTTTCAAATGCAAGATCATAACGTGAAGCAACTTGGAAGAATTAGTATGTATGCGAAGTGTATCGGGTTTTTTTTATTTTTTTATTTTTTTTTATACGAAAGTCCACTATATTCCCGAATATGTGCGAGAAGTGGTGGCGGGGCCAGGCTGCTCTGCCGACCTCAAAGGTCTCGGCGTCTACGCAGACAAAGCGCGCCAAATTGCACGCAGGGCGATAGTGCGGGTTCGAATCTCAGGTTATGTCTAAAACGAAAAGTAGAAATTTATAAGAATTTATAACATCCCTATGCTTTTTTTGTCTAGGTCATCAAGGCAAAAAAGCATAGCGTAGGGCCCTGAGCTTCCAAGCTCTCTCGTTTCCTATACTAACCAAGTACGAAGTCATTTTTAGATTTATAATGACAAACAGTCCGTATTTCAAATTCCAGAACGATAACCTCATGAATCCCGGTTTTATGATTGCACAACTGTAGCACCATCACCTACTCATGCCGTGACCATGCTGCCCTAGGCACCATTCAAATGCGCAACCCCTAAGCAGTCAAATATAAGCAGTGAATATAGCCCTAAGGAATACAATATGCAGGAATATTTGACTGCTTAGGTAGAGCGAAAATCAATGGGAGTCAATACTAAGAAAGTGATTAATACTAATTTAAATTGATATAAATTTTAATTTTACTTGACGCGAGCTCACTTCAATGATATCTGGATCGGGAAATTGTCCTTATCTGTATTCAAATGCTTGATGGAGGAAAAAAGTATAAAGATACGAAGGTAAAACTAAGGTTAACTCACTGTTACCACCAGGATACGTACAAGGGATGTCGTAATTTACCAGCTATGCTCTGCCCACTAAATCGTGCCTTCCTATAATCTTCAACCCAATCTTAGCGAAGATCGGTCTTGGGGCCAAATATAATTATATAATTATGTTTTACCTCTCATCGTGTTCCTGTGGGGAGGCTGCTGAGGTGTATACACCGATGAATACTTGTACAG